TTCCATTCCGCAGGTATCCAAGCTTTTGACAAAGAAAAATTCACCAGATTAAGTAGTTCAGTTGGACAAATCTCGAATATTACTTTTATCATTGAATTTGTTACCCCGTCTGGTCCAGGTGCCGAAGGAGATAAGTGCCTTATTATCTCTGCCAGCTCATCTAAAGTAACCTCCTCGAAATCCTCGCCTGCCATTGGGTTCACAATGTGCAGTGGTAGAGTTGACATAAATCTATCTTGGAGCCCTTTCGCAATATTTTCTACTAAATCAGAGAGCTCACGGGGGGAAAGAACAGAAGAGTCAATATTTTCAGCGGGTGGTAACATCTTTTGAGATCTTAAAAATCTGAAGAGCGCTTTTTTGTTTTTGGCCCTAGAAAGATACTCATGTCGTTTCATATTATAACCATCTTTTGCTGTACTTACTGTGCGTTTGAAGTCTGCTGCTGCGAATTTATAATCACACCAATTTTTTGGACATTGGTTGACCAGCAGTTGTTTCCATGCAGCTTTCCGTTTTCTATAGCTCCTCGTGCACTCTTCAGTCCACCATGGACTGAAAGAACCTCTTGTGGCCGAGTCTAATTTAAAAGTTGCGTCTTTTACTGATCTTTTCAACACTGCACACAGACTCATAGCCCTAATGTCACCTTGTATGTCCTTGCGGTGATCAAAAGTAGCCCTCAAGTTTTTTTCTAATTTTCTATAGTTGAGGAATGAGCGGGCCTTTTCGGCGACATGTATTCTTGGAAAGTTCAGTACAAAACTAATAGGCAAGTGATCACTGTTAGTAGCACAGTCTAAAGTTTGCCACGAACATATATTTAGAGATGAGCTTGAAAATGTCAAGTCAATTACAGATTTAGAGAGACCTCGGACAAAAGTAGCAGATTGCGAGTTTAAACAAGATAAATTCTTGTCAATAGCCCATTCCCACAATCGTTTTCCGCTTAAATCTGTTTTAAAACCCCAGGCAACATGATGTGAATTGAAGTCTCCAGTGATTAATATATCCTTTCTTATCGTTCTTTCTATATCGTTCTTTCTAGCAGTGGACTCATCTGTACATAATGTACAGCACGTCATCATCTACGCTTCTTTCGCACTGTCTGTTCTAACATTGTGACACTGTATTATATTTACGCAGTAGCAGTATCTCGTACTGCGTACGTGCGAACCACCTATAACAACTCCACGAAGCGTATGGCACGGGCCTCACTCAATACAAAAAAAAATCCTACTTAATTAAGTCATCGATTCTTGGCCGATCCCCATGAGTGAGTACGAGCCATGGCTGTGGAATCATCATCATCATCATCGTCATCGATTCCCCACAGCAGGTACGCGCCACAGTTATTAGGGGAATAGGATGAAGATTTTGCAAAGGGTTGGAGCATTTGATGGCCCATATCTGACACCTTTGCTGCTCTATAACGCTTTATTACGCATAATTACGCGATTAAGGCCTATTCGCAAAGCTCAGCGGTAGAATATTGGTCTGGCATGCAAGGGGGCCCGGGCTCGAAGCCTATTGTGTCCTTGGTTTTGTTTATTAACTTTTTATTTTATGCGATAGTGGTTACGGACAACTACGGCGCGCACGTGAGCCGTGTTGTGATCTCAGAACAGCTTTCGCTGTAAAAAGAACAAATGGCCCGGAAACTAATAGGCTCAAGTTATATGCAAAGGTGCTTACCATAGAAACCGTCATGTTTTGATGACAGCTGATATACAAAAGAGAGTCATAAGGGACATCTTCGCGTTGAGAATCATGATGGATCCACCGCCGTTTTTTTTTGTTATGTATGCCAGAAATACTAAAGGGAGTGACTAGTATAGTCTTAGGTATCTATATGCGTTGACGTTAAAGAACTGTCACTTTAGTAAATATTTCTACATAAAGAAATATTTCATTTACCCAAGTTTCATATAGTCGGTCGCTCAGCACCATCGGAAACTGAACAAAAAAGAGTGAGTCACCTGGAGATGTTCGTGAAACAATACGTGCCTGAGCTTCCATCTCCTACAAAAAATAGCGACATATGTGTATACTCATATGACAGCCCGTGATGTGGAACCGCGCCCACGCTGGACCGCAACCCCTGAGGTTTGTGTCGAGGCGTTACGTTAAAAAACTCATCCACGCACACACAACGGAAAGTTTTGGGCGGCTAGGCTCCTAAGCATGAAGAATGCAGCACAAATGGCTGCTATATTTCCATGCGAACACACCAGTCCATGCCAACGGAGCCTTAGGCTGGTTGGGGCGCTTCAGCGGAGGAACCCTCACCAGCCTGAAGACCGCTCGTCTACTTTTTTTTTATCAATAAAGCTTTCAATACTATAATTCAGGTGATGAACTTAAGGCCAATTTACCGATGTTCTGCGACAAAAGCATAATGCTATTAAAATGCATGGAGAGCCTCCAACGTTACTTCAAGTCCGTGATAACTCGACGCAAAAGAAATAGTACCGCTAGAGACACTCCAAGCATGAACCAGACCAGCAAGAAACAATTACTATAATTTAAATACCGTGAGTACATCATTAAACACCATCAACATCTAGAATGTTTCTTTCACTTCCATTATGACAACACTAATTTGATCACGTTGCGTTAAAGCCCACTAGACGTGAGGCTTCGCCTGATGATGATCTGTGAGGTCACATCACTTTCGATATGCCAAAGAGTAACTGTGGGCCAGAGCTCCCACGTTTATGACTGCTGCGTAAGTTCAAGTAAAGTGCCACCGCACATACGTTTAGTCATAAGACTTTTTCCTTATCTGCAAAACATATGAATTCCATCAATAAATATTCACTGAAGTTTATCAATACTGTGATACCGAAGTTTACCGTTGAGTTTGCTGAAATATCATTTGCACAATACCTTCAAATTTCACATTTCACATTTCACTTCGCTTCAATATTTTTTGTACAGAATCTCGAACTGTTGTAGACAAAGTCACATGTGCGATTTTGTACATATTTTATCTGGAAGTACACAAGAAAGGGTGATTTTATTTCAGTGCAATAGTTACCGGATTATAGTGTTATCAGATTATACAAAAGATCTTAAGGACCATGATGCTGTCAGTGAGGGCAGCTGGCGACGGATGTAAGTAGGAGAAGTTGTAGTACTTGAGAGGAAATAAAAATTGCATCCTGAAAGAACGAAGTTCGTTCATGGTGACTTGGTGAAGCATGATACCCGATTCCTGAAAACGAAAATACTATCTGTTAAGGAAAGACGCTTCCAGGGTTCACGCGCTAAAAAGTTAGGGTCATTGAACTGAGTGGGTTCTCAAGACAATGTTTATCAATGGTTCTATGACTGCCTTTCTTTAAAATCTGTAATTTGCGATCTATAATTAAGATCTGCAAAAAGCTGCCGTTACAGCTCTGCCGCGTCAGCCCGGTCCTTGCAGCCAACGAATGAGTACTCACACCATCCGTGAGGAGTCCAGTCAGTGTTTCAGGCTGTGGCAACTTGTCGTCAGGTGCGAAGGGTAGCGGAGAGGTGACTGGTTCGAGACGCCTAAATCATAACGTGGTTATAAGTGCAAGAACGAGGTGCTGGTCTATAGAACAGACCCCGATGACTCTACCTCAGTGATCGTCATGTTGTCAATACTACACACGCACTTGCTACGAAACCGCTACACATACTACGTTGTGGCATTTGCAAAATAATTCTGTTTTTTTTTAAAGAGCAATATAGGGCACTCGTGAGTCATGCTTCTGTAGCTACAGACGATTCTTCTATGCTGTAAGGGGCAAATGGATGAATGGACGGATGCTATGACGTCCCCTTTATAACGAGGTGGTGACATATCTGCCACCAGGCTCGAAAGAAAGAAACAAAAAACTTTCTTTTTATATTAGCCTTATGCTTTATCTACTTCAATCAAATCGATCTTATTATAGCAAAGAAAAATGTGAATTCATGGTCCATCTCTCTGCCTCTTCGGGCATAATGACTTCATGGATAGATGGATGGATGCTATAAGCATCTCCTTTATAACAGGGCTTGAACTGCACGATGCAGGTGTAGATTATGCAGAATCGAATGCTCTTAGATATTTTCATTTTCTTTTAAACTTTCATTTTGATTTTCTTTTAAGAAGGATCGCACTGCATCTCTTGCCACGCGATGGCGTTGCTGTACATGGCTCATTCAGCATATACAGTAACTTTAGGCGTTCCTGACGTTCGTTCTTTTTTATTTTATTTTTTACGTAACAAATTAGTACTTAACGGAGCCACTTTATTGTACGCGTCTAAACGGCAGTTTTTAAATTAGAAGAAAATGTAGCTAGGAGTGCTAAGTAATTTTGAACACGCCGAAGCTCCTCCGAGATCTTCCTACCACCAGCGGTAAATTGTGTATATAAATGGCCCACTGTTATGATGCCGCTGAATGCATGGCCCGTTGCAGAAAGGTCTAAGGCCGCTAGCTGCGGTGCGAGTGATCACTGGGGCGAATCTCCGGTCGGGTGCTTCAAAATGTTTTCTAAAAATTGTTTTTTGTGCCTTTTTATATGTATATACATGCATATGCATATACGGGACATAACAGTGACGGCAAAACTCCGCCGAGATTGTTCATACAATCGCTATCGTAATAAGACATGCGGTATCACGAGGGTACCCTTAAGCTCGCGACAAGAGCGCTGCCACATCAGAAGAAGAATTGCAAGCCCAGCGCGAGATCTCGAGAGAACGGAGCCTCGGTTTGTCCGTCGGTCTAAGTCGCCGCAGAACAGCCTTGCGATTTCAAAGTGAGTAAGTCCTCGCGGTGCTTACATATCAGCATGCCTCCCGAGAAAAAGAAAAAGAAATCGCGACGTCAATCCAAGAAAGACACCGCGTCAAAGTCTCAGTCGACAAGTGCGGCTGCGTCGGCAACTATGGCCGTGTCAGGGGACTACCGCTGAGTCGGGTGCGGCGGCAGCGTCGGCAGACGGGGAAGCTGAGAACGAGCAAATGCAACAAGGCGCAATGGCTTATGGCCACGGAGGCTTCCAGGAGCGTATATTCTACTACGGCATCGTGGCTGTTATAGTACTGATGTGCCACCACCGTGCCTTCTCGTTCATCTCGCCTCCCGTGGATCACTGGTGCAGTCCGACCAAGCAGTTCGCCAACCTCTCCGTGGCTGCATGGAAGAACATCGCTATTCCGGTCGACGAGGCCGACCGCTACAGCACGTGTCTTGTCTACGTGAACCCCGGTCACATCAATGACACCACGGTGCATTCCTGTGCTAAGTGGGATTACGATGGCAGCTCCAAACAGCAGTCCGTGCGCACTTTTTGGAACCTCGTATGTAACAGAGCCTGGCTGGTAACTCTGGCGGAAGCAGTGTATATGATTGGAGCAGTGTTTGTTGTGCCTGTGACGGGCTACGCCGCTGACACAATGGGTCGCCAGCCGGTGATCATAGGAGCCGTGTTGGGACTCGTTTTAAGCTCTGCTGCGAGCTGCTCGGCATATTCGTTCGTGATATACCTTGTCGCCAGGTTCATTAGCTCGGCGTGTGCCAGCACTGTGAACATGCTGACCATCATCCTTCTCTTCGAAATCATACCACTCGAGTTGCGGACGTTCTACATCGGCTTCGTCGCTTCCTTGGGCGTCGTCATGAGCGACGTGTACTTCCTCGTGCTGATGCCACTGAGAAAACACATCAGCTGGCGCTTAATGCAGATGGTCGTTGTGGCACCCACTATACTGCTGCTGTTGGGTCGCTCGGTCATCCACGAGTCTCCGATATGGCTCATTTCAATGCACCGCATGAGGGATGCCGAAGCTGTTATGCTTAAGGCAGCACGGTTAAACGGCGCACGGCGCGACGATGCTGAAAGGTCCGTGGAAGCCTTAATAGCCGACTTGAGCAGGACTGGTGCAAACCTATCCATCTCCGTCTGGGAAACCATCATGTCGGCAACGATCCGCGTGAGAGTGATCAGTGTATTCTTTTCGAACTTTACCATCATGTTCGCTTTTTTTGTCATCACTGGAAGCAGGCTCCTTCAGGGGCAGGGTATCGTCAAGATGGTCTCCGTCGCCGTCCTTGTTCTGGGCTACCTGGCCATGTACCTCGCCTTGAACTACTTCGGGCGGCGGAAGCTGCTGACGGTCCTGCTGGCTCTCCTGGGCGGAGTGAGTGCGCTTTGTGGCGTTAGCATCTATGCGCAACAAGTCGAGGTGTCGTACGTCCTATTGATTGCTGCCAAGGCCACGGCAAGCGTCCTGATTCCGACCAACTTCCTTTACATCGCAGAACTCTTTCCCACCACCATTCGCAGTGCTGTTTTGTGCGGCGCTTATGCCTGCGGCCGCGTAGGAGGTGTGCTGGCCGCATGTGTGGCGCAGCTGATGTACATCGGCCGAGAGGATTTGGGTTTCGCGATTGCAGCCTTCGGAGCCCTCGTCAACATCGTGGTCGTGATGCAACTACCCGAGACCAGTGTCGGCACCGAAGCCATCGGAGAAGTGAAAAAGCGCAAGGACCTCCTCAACATGATGCAGCGAAGCTTGGCGCCGCTGCGCCGTAACGATCAACGAACTCGCAGCAAGAAGGCTTTAGGTGGCACGACTAATTAGTTGGTCCCACGCATAGCTTCAATTTCGGTTTCTGGTTACACTTACATTTAAGGGTGTGAACCAGGTTCGATCGGCTAACAATATGCCGATTTACTTCTCGCAACGCATTGCTTTTCTTTCGCGATATATTTATATTAGACCAGGATCTGGAGGCATCTGCGCGTAACACCATCACTCGTGGACCACAGCGGTGGCCTGCTGTAACTGAATGGAAAATAGGTAAAAAAAACATATCAAACAAACTACACTAGTTTGCACCATGCCTGCGTTGATGGCGCAGCACAGTCGCAGAAAAAGATAGAAAAGAGGCCTTTCAGAGCCTATTCTAAACAATCATTGGGTAACTGCTACAAGCACACTTACTGGGTACCCACTACAGGATTAATAATCATAATTTATGGTAGTAGGCCGGCATTAGTACTGCTATCCTTTGTCCATCTTCTGAGAAGCGTGGCACACTTGCAAGGAATTTCGGGCCAATTGTTGATGCCTTAGATGAAAACGATGAGGAATTTTAGCTGAAGTGGGTAGGCGCCACAGTTTATAGGTAATCTAAAACAGGCTTTTGAAATAGGTTGGAGCATTCGTTACGCTATTGGCATTGTGCGACGCCTGGTTTTTCCTTTGCTGTAATATTGTTCCTTTACTGTATCACTCATATAAACGTGATTCCTTTCTAGACATCAAGCCGGCCTAAGGCAAGTTTGCGAACAAGTCACAAGCACCAGCGTGGCTCAGTAGACGAATGCTGGGCTGGTGGCACGCCGTGGACCTTGGGTTCGAGCTCCACTGTGTCCTTTATGGCTTTTACTTACCGAGTGTTTTTTTTTTATTTCGTGCGATAGTGGTATCAACACCGGCTGCGGCGGTGGACAACTATACGGCACCGCGCGTGACCCGAGTTGTGACCTCATAACAGATCTCGCTGTAAAACGTCGCAGCTTTCCGCAAAGGCGAAGCAATGAATATGATAGCAACAAATTGGAATGTCACGCGAAAAATGGTAAGCAGATCGAAATGTGCCCCGCGTTGCTCATGCACGAATGACGCACGAGACGCGCTCACATATACAGGTGAACGCGATTTTTCGTCACAGTTGGTACTTGGCCGTGTCTGAAAAGCGCGCCTTTTCGTAAACGGAGACTGTGCAGCGAGTGCAGTGACCTTTGTGCGCCCGGTAAGAACAGAATCGTTCCACTGAAAGCTCAAGGCGTACGATTCTGCCCACCGCGAGATAAGCGCACGCACTCGTGAGCATCTACCCCCCCCCCCCCCCTCCACAGGGAAAGTACGCGTGGGAGATGAATGCATGAGCGCGCGCCGCCAGCGTCGTGGTGATCTGGCGACGCACGCTCATAGCGCCATCTCACTAGTAACGCTTTAAAGCACTGATAATTCCCCCGAAATGCCATTGCCGGCGGTGCCGATATATATAGCTTGCCACTTCAATGTTGAAAGAGGTGCTTTTTCGTAGCTCAGTAGCTAACGCCCCTCACTCACAAGCAAGACGTCGAACGTTCAATTCCGCGCACTGGAGTATTTTTCTGAATTATTTTCCTTTCTTGCGTTCTCTTATCAATAGATACGTATACATATATAATGAATGACTGCGGTCACCAATGTTGATGCTGACGCTGGCGGCGAAATCCAGCCAAGAGTGTCGATATAATTTCTATTGCAATGAAACGACTCCCCGCTTTATACAGCGTGCACTTAATATAACAGTATGGCAAATTTACACTGCCGCACTAAAAATCATGTGGCTTCCCACAGAGTTCCCCACAAGGGAATCCCATCTGTTTCTATGAGCGGTGTTCAATTGCCTGAGAATCCACCCGATTTGTAGTGGGATACAGCAATTTTAACAAAATGTACCAGTAGGTTTCTGCTGCGTATAATCCGGAGTCATTTTAGGGGCGAAGCTCCTTGGGCCGTGGGTCGTTCCCTCCTCTGTAGTCGTAGTAATAGCATGTAGCCACCTCTAGTTTATGAGTTGCTCAATAGATAGATGGCTTTGTGTGTGTGTGTGTGTGTGTGTGTGTGTGTGTGTGTGTGTGTGTGTGTGTGTGTGTGTGTCCCGGAGAATAATATAACTTTATGGCATTAGTGGTTTTCACAGCATATCCACGGAGTGAATTATGATGGGTGAGGCGAATCATTCGTGTGTCGGAGTGTCCATCCGTCCATGCTTCCGTCCGTCCAGTCATCTTTTTGTCCATGCTTCCGTCCGTACCTCCGTGCGTCCATCCATCCATCTGTACGTGCTTCTGTGCAACCATCCCTCAGTCCGTCCATCCATGCTTCCGGACTGATGGACGTATGGAAGGACAGACGTTTCGCCACACTCATCATCATTCACTTCACGGACATGCTGTAATTTTTCGATGTAATTTTTCGATAACTAGTTTTTTTGCAAGACATGATTTTTCGCACCCACTTTCCTATCAGTTATGGTAGGTTGCCGTTCCGGCTGCCGAGAGATGGCGCCACGTCCAGATGTCCCCGATTTCTGTGAATGTGTACGCTATTTTATTGCTCTTGCATGTCCGTATACGTTCGCTGACTGACGCACATAATGACGAGCTTTTGATGCCGCACCGCTGCCGCAAACTTCCAATCCCAGCTTCTGCATCGCTTGCCGCGTCGGCATAGTCTTAATATTGAAAAGAAGCACTTCGGTTCGGCCCATGCTGTGACATGCGTGTTTCGTTTTAACAAAACTTCAAATTCTGCCATATGTGGAGAGCTTTTGGAACATCGGAATACGGAACCAGAGGTTCGAAAGAACCGGACACACAGGGCAGCTTGGATATGAAGGTAGCACCTGTCCTGTGTCTCGTTTTTGCAAATGTCTAGTTTTGTGCTCTAACGTTCCCAAAAGTCTTTGGTTTGATTTGGATTTACAAATAAGCTACTGTGTTAGCTATAATTTCCAACATGCTGCAAATTACGATTTTTTTCAGCATTAGTGTCAGACCTAAGATTCTGGAACAATTCAAGTTGGAAATAATGACAGTAGAACTACGGGATGTGTTAAACCAAAATATTTTGTACATTGTGCATAACCAGAGTTTTCAATTTTATGAGTTTGGGGAAACATTGCGAACTAGAGGATGGAATGGAATGAAAAAAGTTTATTTCGGTCCTGCAGTACGCGCTTAGTGCGTAGCGGGCTAGAGGATCTCATAGGCAAATAACCAGCTGCAAACAGACACCCAGCTTAGCCACGTGAACGTTGAAAATCTGGATAAGTGGAGATTCTGGGCGTCCGCTCAAGGAATTGCGGGCCCAGACTTCGTCTGCGGCTACGGCGTAGCAGTTACGCTTGCGTGGTTAGTGGAAAGCTTTGGTAGCTCGCTGCTAACCAGGGATACTTATGACATAAGCCACGCAGTCGCCGCACACCATCTGCTGTAAAACCATGTCGTGGCCTATATATATCCATACTTCAGAAAAGAAAAAAAGGCTGTTTCTGGGGCCTACATAGATCAATCTATACGTTTAACATCCTTTCATGAGCGACTCAAGTTCACTAGAAGGCACTATATGACAGCCGCTTAATCGGATTTTCAACGAGCTAGAAAAGTGATCCTGATTCCGAGCACCTTGCTAAGAAAAGCCAGTCCGTCTTATATTTATTTTTGTAATATATCTTTTTTTAATAGGCATCCACTTTAATTTCTGAAGAGAGTAAGTTGAAACGATTGAAGGAACAGCTTATACAAGTATAGCAAGTTGCAAAAAGCAAAGTATAAAATACCATAACAAATGTTTACAGGCTGTTCTTCAAGCTGCAAAAAAGCTGCATTTTTGAAGCACGCAACAATAAATGCAATCCTCACTTCAGTTTCACTTGGTATTTTTTGTTTACAGAGTCAGTGAAGACAAACCACAACCATTGATTTCAAAAATGCGAGCTTTTTCGTGGATAACAGTAAGCATTATTCAGATTCCTTTTTATTTGTGTCAACATTTCTCTGACCAGCGGTTCATTTTGAGTTATATGAATTCGATGAACTATAAGACTTTAGGACGGTTGCCGAGAAGCATACATCGACACGCAAGCTTGGATGTGTTTCTTTACATTTATAGCAGTACATGTTTATAAAGAACGACTAGAATGTGGCAGTTCACATCAAAGATACTTCTTTGATAACCTGAGAAAAACGTGCAGCTTCAGTAAGATAAACTAGGCACATAAACAGTTGATTACTTGAAGGCGTGACCTATTTATGTCAACTTTGTCCGCAGCACAACTAAATGCTGTTCTTGCAAAAATCAGTCTTCTTGTAGATTGATTGATTGAATAATTCAGTTGATTGATTGATATTACCACGCAACCAGTTGGATATCAGAGGTTCCTAAAGTCCAGTGATTGAACATATGAGGGGTCCATTCATCATGCTCTATGACTTATATAGTCCCTCTTCGACAGCACGTCGTAAAGGCAGAAAGAGCTCAGTAACCAATTTCACAAAAGTAGTCGCAGTAGTGAGTGTCACCGAATGTTAGTGTGCGTCCTAACAATCGGGGCATCCAGCTTGTACGCTCTATCAGCCCTGTATATAAGCAGCTATTATAAATAAAAATACTCAAGAGAGTTATACTATGATTAGTATATATTAGCACCCTAAATTTCTGTTAGTTGACTAAACCCACAGCTAGTAGGTAAGCTGAAGTCAACACTGGGTCTCCCTTGTAGCCTTCTTTGCTGAAATACCGAAGCAAATGAACGCTACTCTGCTGTAGTACTGAGGACATGGCTTCTAAGCCATGGAAGATCGCCATCGCCTTTTTACGATGATGCTATAAAGTATGGTGCCTTTCTTTTTTCTTGCGGATGTGGAAGAATGTTTCGCAAACGAGGACCAGTGAGCTCGCTCCGAAACCCCCGGCCAGGATTATGAACACGGTAGTTTGAAGTCCGTCATCTTTAGAACTGGCCGAGGGTCTTTGGTAAACAGGTTCTTCGGTGCCGGGAAGTTATGGTAGCGATAACGACTCTCAAATTCGTTGAAGAGTCCTGCCTCGAAGATCCTCATGACTCTGCATGCGGGAAGAGAGAAACAACACAAATGCCGAAAATTTCAAACCATGCTTCTGGATTGTTGCCGTGATTCATGCTAGACGTAGGCCCCTCAGGACCAACACAATCGAAGCTATACAGCACCTCATTCAAGCAACAGCTTGCGAGTAGCGCTATAACGCTACAACGAACAGCGCTGCAATGGGACGAATCAACATGAACAATCCCGCAATAACACTCTCGATATCAGTTTACGGTAACATTAAACTTTGCCCCACTAGTAAGGCCGGCTACATATATACTCACGCATTCTGAACCGAATTCTCGTAGGGCGATGCTCGGGGTAGCACGTAACATAAGGGCCTAAAGCCAAGCAAGAAGTCTTTGGAGATCTCAACTTGGACCCTGGAAAGCTTGCTCATACCACTCCAGAACGTGCTGCGCTGGCGAATAGCGCAGCCTCTCGCCTTCTCGTGCGCTCGGCGCAGGTGTCCAAACTGTCTGCGATAAATGGCGATCGCTTCTGTAATGCGGCTCTCAGCTTCGAAATGTAGACGGTCTTGGATTTCTGCGCAAAAAACAAAAACGACATATTTCTCGTAGACACACCGGTGCCAAATATGTGCTTATCTCTTACGTGACGAGAATGGACGTGCATAGTGTTAACTTGGAACCAATCTGAAAAAAAATTTAACTTGAGTCCTTTAAAAAAAGTTTCGCCACCTGGTCGGAGTGAATTATTGTGACAGCAATTGGAATGTAATGCGAAGAAAGCCTAGCAGCTAACTCTCTTGGATTCGATCTCACATATTACTACAGAACGCCTAAAACGCCAAACGGCCTAAGTCAATACGTCTGCTCCAGGAAGCGAAGCGTTTTTCGTGCTGCCTGTCATCTAAACGCCTAGCAAGCAGCGTGAGCACAGCCCTTGTACGAGTGGTCTACTTGTGCCTGTCGAGGACAGCGCGAGCGCCAGCGTCTACAGGCTGTGCCCTTATGAGCACAGTTTGCTGTTGCTGCTCTACGCAACACCCCTCACCTACCGACACCTAGAGTAACTGTACACGCTACCTTTAGGTAGCAGAGCAGCGCATTTGTTTTATAACGCTGTTGGCAAACATTCCCTGCAGAGAAGCTGATGCACAGGCCCCACTGCCAAAAGCGGTCGCAGTCCACCATGAATCGGTCAAGTGACCGTCGTGCGCTCTGTAGCCCGTTAGCTACAAACTGGTGCTTTTATTTGCTTAAGAGTCATGTCCTTAGGCTTCGACAGCAAACTATTTCTGTATAATCGGCACCATTTTCGACAAACATTATGAAACAAGCAATGTCGTAGGCATAATGGGGCGCTCTTTGAATCATGGAGGACCTATATTTTGTGTTTGTGAGTTGTTAAACAGTGGTAGTGCATGCTATTCGGCACTACGCTATGGCTTTGGGCTTTGTCAACGGAGAGACATACTAAAATATGCTTTTAGGGGCGAAGCTCCTTATAGCGTGGGTCTGTCGCTCCTCCTCCTCCTCCATATGTGTGTATGTATGTATGTATGTATGTATGTATGTATGTATGTATGTATGTATGTATGTATGTATGTATGTATGTATGTATGTATGTATGTATGTATGTATGTATGTATGTATGTATGTATGTATGTATGTATGTATGTATGTATGTATGTATGTATGTATGTATGTATGTATGTAGGTAAAACAGGGAAGCGGTGGTTCCGAGTTCACATGGATTTTGCAGGTACTGTTGATGGGTACCTTATTTTTGTCCTAGTTGACGCGGAAACAAAGTGGATAGAAGCAATGCCGCTAAAAACAGCTACCACAGACACAACTATTCACTTGCTTAGGGAAATTTTTGCTCGTTTTGGTATCCCACAGTGTGTGGTTTCTGACAACGGCCCCCAGTTTTCGAGTGCGACGATGGCAAAGTTCATGCGGGAAAACAGCATACGCCATGTTCGGACGGCGCCGTATCACCCTCAATCAAATGGACTAGCGGAGCGAGCGGTGCGAACAATAAAAGAGGGCCTCAAGAAAAACAAGCACGGCACATTGCAAGAAAAGTCTCGTCTTCGTTTCCGTTACAGATCTACGCCTCTCGAGAGTGGAAAATCACCAGCTCAACTGCTGTTGGGATTCGAGCCCCGGACAAGGTTGTCCACCCACTTTTCAGCAGGGGCAATGCCTGAAGAGGCCGAGGCTACCCGAGAACGACCTTTGTCGGTCATAACGCTACCCCTTTTCTCACCAGGAAAGCCCATCTGGTCCCGCCAATTTCAACAAGGGCAGAAATGGCTTCCAGGGACAGTAATAGCAACGGACGGCAAACGGATAGTGAAAGTGGAGACCCCCCTGGGGACCCAGCACCGGCATGTCGACCAGCTGAGGGCACGGCTGACGTCAATCACGCCGGAAAAGAACCCATCGGCAACTGGCACAAGTCCAGCGGAAACTCAGCCGGCCCCAGACGCTCGAGAAGCCAGTCCAGTGACCATTGACTCCAGTCCGGCGACCCCTCAGTCGCCCGTCTCGACGCGGCAACCAGGGCGCCGGAAGCAGTCCCAAATCTACTCCATCGTTCAACGTGAACACGACACCCTGCGGAACGACTGCCCTTTAAAGTGAGAAGAGATGCAGCGTTGGCAATAAACCACTATCACCCGCCCATTCACTTATCACTAGTTAGTTAGCAAGCCAGCTCCGATGTACTCGGCTGTCACTCGTGTCTCACGTGGTTTCAGACTATAAAAAGACCATGTATCAAGGAATAAACTGTTCAGTTCGTGTTGCCACTATTTGCGTCACTTCACCGGTGGCAAATACCCGCTCTAGAGTGGTTATGTGTCACAGAGGATGCGAGATGGCGGTACATAGATTGTTCACTAGATGGACGAACGGACGGAAGGGTGGACAGACTAGCAGACGAATGGAGGCGCGGACGTAAGGATGGATGGACACCCGAACGGACGGACAGACAGATGGACGGACTCACGGACGGACGCATGGACAAACGTACGGACGCAGTGGATTGACGCGCGGATGGTCGCGTGGATGGGCGGAAGCAAGTACGAACGGATGGACGGAAGCAGGGACGGGCTGATGGACGCTTCACCCCACTTATCATCCTTCCCTCCGTAGATATCCTATGATTTTTAAACAGTCCCGAAAGCAGACGTTTCTTCTTTCTTCGCCGGTCATTGACACGCCAAGCACGCCAACTGGTCATCGGCGGCACGCTTCGTCGGTCGGCGACAAGCAAGTCGCCTGAAAAAACAGAGCGCGGCTTCATCGCGTAACTATGGTTGCTAACCAGGCAAGATGGCGGACCCATGCACTAGACTGGTCCCGTAGGAAGTATACAGGTACTCGACCCTCACCCACCCTCCAGTGCCCCCTTCACGCTGCTTCACTTGACTAGAAACGAGTAACTGTCCTCTCTGTTTTTTAGCAAGCGCGGCAGCTGCAGTGAGTGAAGTGACCTTTCTTCTGAATCTTCAACGCCTACTGTAACAATGAGAGAAGGCACCTACAAAACTAAAAATCATCTTTCTAATCCACCTCCAGGCTTAAGCGAGCGAAAACAGGCGACCATGCTGTGCGAGTTAATGTTCAGACGTCTTCCGGCCAATCCACACGACGAAACAAGTCATTCTGGGAGCCTTCGTGTGCGCGCCTCCATGCCTCCGTAGGCACGAAGGCACGCACATGAAGGCTCTCTAACGCCGTTTGCCATTGCACCCTTTGCACTGTCTCGCGAGGGATGGTGAACAAGCCTCTGCTACGCGGAAACGCCTTCGAGATGTGCGTACTATCACCGGTAAATGGTGTACATCAGGGCGGGGCCTCTTTGTAGAACTTTAAGTTGTATTCCTCTATCGTTCGTGACAAAGACGAATTCCATTATTATTTAATGTATGTGAGCCTAAGGTGTTCTTAACTGCGATGGTTGCGTTTCTGAACGAGTTGCCCCAAATGCAGGCTCGCAAGCGGCCCGCCCAAAGCACGTTGAGTAGCTCCTCTTTCGTGTCCGGTGCCTCCTCGAGAATGGGCATGTTGAGGAAGCTGGTGTAGCCGCCCGTGAAGCAGTACGACATCACGAAGAACATGAAGTGAAGCATTGCCAGCAGTATGCGCACGCTTGTCTTCTGGCTCCATCTCGCTGGCGACCCTGAAAACATGGTTCGGAAACATAAGGTGGAGTATGGCATCAGTGATTCAATAACAACCTCTTATACAAGTGCCATGTACGGTCGCGATCAATATGAATTCCAACATGCTGTCTGTACTCAAAATAGCGTGTACACTGCAAAGTGCCATCTACATAAAAAGCCGCAGCTTTGGACAAAGGCGAAGCAATGAACGCGATAGCTGGAAGGTCACGCGCAGAATTCCAAGCAGATCAAAATGTTCCCCGCGTTTCCGCTCACGCACAAATGACGCACGAAACATATGCAAATGTGCAGATGAACGCGAATAAGCTTCTCAGTTGCTACTTCCGGTGTCTAAGAAGTGCACCTTTTTCGCAAACGAAGACTGTACAACGATTGCAGCGACCTATGTGCACCCGGTAGCTACAAGAGAATTATTCCGGTGAAAGCCCAAAGCCAGCCATCTTCACCGCCGCGAGATAAGTGCGGGCGAGTAGACGTTCATCCGCCTTCTCTCCGCGGGGCAAAATACGCATGGGAAACGAGAGCGCGCGCCGCCGCGTCGTGGGGATGTGGCGACGCTAGGGAGCCTACACAGGCGGTCGTGTATAGGCTCCTAAGGCGACGCGTGCCCATTGACGCGTGCATCTTGCTGGTTACGCTGAAAACACGCCATTTCTCCCCGAGATGCCGTCACCAGCGGTAGTAAGAGCTAACTTACTTTCACTTTCAGAAAGAAACAGCATATCCCAATTGAAATATTTATATGAAATAATTAATGGGCATTACAAGATAGATATTGGAAAAATTATTTCATTTTCTTCAGGTTACGCCACCAGACAACGCCATGATCGTACAATAACTCACTTTCGTACCCGCAATAACTGCTTCAAATATCCTTTTCTACCAGAACTGTGCAGGATTGGAATAGTTTCGAATAACCATCAAGTCACAACACAGTCTTTAACATCCTTTGCCGCTGGTCTGTAAAAACAGAGAAAATAATTTTACTTGTGTGCTAGTTTTGTTTTCTTTTCTTAAAATGAGAGTGATGTGTGATCGGTAAAATTTTGTTACATTTGTTTACGTTGTAAAACGCAAGTGATAGTTATTTGTTTGCTTTGTGTTATATGGCTGCCTACTATGTGAAATGTGATAGGCTGTTCTATGTGTTTGCCTGGTGTTATATGCTGATGTTTACGTCTTTTGTACCCACCTGCTAAAATCCCTCCAGGGGATTGCAGTACCAAAAATAAATAAATAAATAAATAAATAAATAAATAAATAAATAAACGGTAGATACAGATAGCTTGCCGCTTGAACGTTGAGTGAAGTGCTCCTCCGTTGCTGAGTGGTTAAAGGTACACTAAAGTAAAATAACAATTTATGTCATGGTGAAAGCTTAATATATGACTACATCTAAAACGATAATATTACGAACAACAGTGCCCTACTTACCGAGTAATTAGGGTGAATGCACAAGAACACATACTCCGCAGTAGGACTTTCTCAAAATTATCCCGATCACATCAAATGGACTGCCTACAATTATTCACTAGTCATCGATCTAGCTGCACGAAATAAAGAACCTTCCGTGCATGAACAGACGCTATAAAATGCTGCTTGTTCATTCTGTTTTATTTATAGAAAAAATAACCGCCGGATGTTACTAAGGGAAATGGCGCGAATGATTTAAAAATAAATTTCACCTATTTACACTGGACAAATGATGCCATCTAGCGGGGTGTAGATGAGCCAAAAACGACTGCAATCTTGGAGCCAATGGCAGAAAATTGATCGAAGGCCGTTGTTGCTGCTGTGGCTCCCGCTGCTTTCGGTCTGCTGCTATTGGGGCAGTAAAGCCGGGCAACATTGTGCATGGAAAACAGTGACGTGAGTCGTCACTGTCGGTCCGCTTCTTGAAGCGGGTAGTCTGAAGTGCGCTAACCCGATGCGAACCACTAAAACGTGATTTTATTTCAAAATAGGCCCTTTTCTGGCACAAAATTAACACTACGATGTTTCTAGACCGCTATTTCAACAATCAACTTTGACCTAATAGTTGCGTTTAGTGTCGCTTTAACGCCTTGCACTCACACTTCATAGGTCCCACATTCAATGCCACGCGCCGGAGTGTTTTTCTGGATTGTTTATGTTTCTTACGTTCTCATATATATATATATATATATATATATATATATATATATATATATATATATATATATATATATATATATATATATATATATATATATAGAGAGAGAGAGAGAGAGAGAGAGAGAGGGTGAAGCAATGAACGCCATAACAAATGGGAAAGTCATGCGAATAATGGCAAGAAAATCGAAACCTGCCCCGCGTTTCTCACGCAGAAATGACAGCACAAAACGTACTCATACTTACAGATGAACGTGAATAAACGTCCCAGTTGTCACGTCGGTGTGCCTGAAAAGCAGGTCTTTTTCGAAAACAGGAGACTGTGCAACGAGTGCTGTGACCTATGTGCACCCGGTAACTGCAACAGAATCTTTCCGGTGAAAGCCCATGGCGTACGATTCTCGCCACCGCGAGGATAAGTGCGCGCTTGCGTTAGCGTCCAAATCCCGCCACCCTTTCCGCGGGGCAAAGTACGCGAGGGAGATGACCGTGCGCGCCGCCGTGTATTGACGATCTGGCGACGCGCGCTAAATACGCCACCTCTCTGGTAATGCTGAAAACATGATATTTGCCCCAAAATGCCCATTGCTAGTGCTAAGTGGTAGATATAATTAGCTTGCCTTTTCAACGCTCAAGCAGGTGCTCCTTCGTGGCTCAGTGGCTAACGCCTCGCACTCACATGCAGGATGTCGCGGACGTTCGATTCCGCTTGCCGGAGTCTATTTCTGCATTATTTTTTCTTGCGTTCTCATATATACATATGGATACGTAGGCATATACGGTGAATGATGGTGACACCGACGCTAGGGGCGAAATTCAGCCGAGAGTGTCCGTATAATTGCTTTCTCAATAAAACTGAACAAAACTCGTTTATTTAGCGGTGCTTTCTCAACCTACTCAACGTTATTTGGTGTCATTATTCAGGCTTGGGGTCACATCTTCAGCAGCCAGTGAGTGGCAACACATATTGAACGTGAGTGTAGATGCGCCTCACTAGATCAGTGTTAACTGCCTCCAAGAAACACTGAATGCATCTAAACACCTCAGGTTATACCCAGTCTGTAGAACTCTTGTGTAGTACCCGCGTGATTCTCATAATATAATAAATAAGCTAATATATATATATATATATATATATATATATATATATATATATATATATATATATATATATATATATATATATATTACCGTGAAGTTTTGTTCAGTGTAATCGGTCACTCAGCTTCATCAGAAACAGAGCAATTCCGAGCAATTAGGCCACTTGGAAAGAGATTGCAAACTAAAATTCAAATAAACTTCCTCCCCTACCCAAAATAGAAG